ATCAGTGTAGTGCTGATGAGCAGGATGAAAGTAACTGCTATTTACAGTTACCTTTGATGCCTCACGATTGTGGGACATCAAAACCATGCCAGAGCGCCCAAACTGCAAGCAGTGAGCGTGCGCAATGCGTAAGCGGCATGGCTCATCCTGTAGAGCGCTCAATATGACCTAAAGGCCATAGAGCGATATCTAACTACAGACGGTACCGTTTCGGCCTTATGGGCCTCATCAGTGTAGTGCTGATGAGCAGGATGAAAGTAACTGCTATTTACAGTTACCTTTGATGCTTCACGATTGTGGGACATCAAAACCATGCCAGAGCGCTCAAACTGCAAGCAGTGAGCGTGCGCAATGCGTAAGCGGCATGGCTCATCCTGTAGAGCGCTCAATATGACCTAAAGGCCATAGAGCGATATCTAACTACATAAGAAATATATATATATATATATATTTCTCTTTTACAGATGTTTATTTCTAATACCAACTGCACGCTACAAAATACTAATCCTTATGATTCCATGTGCTCTCATGTCACATGACTATATCTGTCACTCAAGTCTATGACATCACTACACCATTCCCTTTGTTTTAACAAAACATAAATCTTTTAACTGTTCAAATATAAATTGTGCACTGGAAATCTACCTGAAATTCCTCATGAGCAATTATCAGGGGTGTTGCACCCCCCCCCCCCCCCAGTGAGTTTCAAGCAAACACTCTGATTTATTGTTCATGTATTTCACCTCCCAAAATATTGTGCATCATACTCTAGAGCATTTTGCTGTTGTCATGCTCTAGCGTGGTTCAAATGTATGAATTTTTATTATATAAAGTATAGTGTTTTATAGAGATTTCGAGCACTGATAAAAATGGTAATCTCACATGTGAAATTATTCATGATAATCTCACATGTGAAAATTATGAAATTAATCGCTTTTCAATTATCGCTTTTCTGTAAAAATTATCGCCTTTCAAAGACTGTCCTTTATATAATAAACAGAAAAATACATGGGTGGTTGGAAATACCAGATTTATTTTTCGTGTTGAACATGACATCTCACTCCTTCGCTGCGCTCACTTGTGAGATCGTAGTTACTAAAACAAGGAATGACCTAAAATGACCTAAAACGACCTAAAACCATCTAAAACCCACCTAAAACGATCTACAACGACCAGTAAAACCACCTAAAAGTCTAAAACGACCTAAAACCATCTAAAACGACCAGTAAAATGATCTAAAATGACCTACAATGACCAGTAAAGTTATCTAAAACAATCTAAGACTGTCGAAACGACCGAAAACGATCTAAAACAGCCGATCTAAAACGGCCAATATAAAAAAACAATATAAAACGACATAAATAACCAAGCGATCCAAAATAGCTAAAATAACCTAACACGGCCATGAACTCGTACTCGGCCATTATTACACGAGTATTAGATAGTTAATATATTACCCTGGGTTCCAGTTGATATATACTGCAACCGTGTCACCCAGAGCGTGTCACTGCAGTACCACACAATAGGCAATTCCAGCTTTTAATTTATACTCGCAGTGAGTCTGTGAGTGACGGGAAGAAAGGTATCATATTGCAGATTATGCTGAAAAATTTCAATAGAAACTTCCGAAACAACCGAAATATTTTTTCCAGCGTAATCAGCTGCCATATGATACCTTACTCCCCCCTGCACGCATAAACTAAAAGCTGGAATTGCCTATTAAGAGGGCCCTCTTATACTTTTTGCGTGAAGCGTGATGGGCCCCCTATAGTTTTTGTGTGAATCGTGATGGGCTTATTTTAGCCGTGAAACGTGATCGATGATTTTCTTAATCTGTGAACGTGAAGGATTTTTTTCAATTTTTCGTGACTCGTGAAAAGGAAAAATATTTTTACGTGAAAGTATATTGTGAAGAGGTATAGGGGGCCCTCTATGACTTTTTACATATCCACTATATCCTTGCAAGATGAAGTAACAAGCTTTTCACAAATATAACACTGACCGCAACGCAATGTTATATACCTGGAGTCCTGGACAGCCTGTCGAGCACATGTTTGGTATAAACTTGCTCATTCAAGCCATTCAAGGTATGTAAATTTTAATATAATATGCATAATAAACAGCACATAAAACGTATTTATAGCATTTTTAATGAATTGCCTTCAATAAATATACCATATTTTGAATTGGAATATGACGAAAGTTTGATTTGAGGTCTCTGTTTGGCTGTTTCATCGCGCTGACGCGCTTGTAGTTGTACTTGTAGTATCGTAAATATTTATTCTTTAAACTATAAAATCAAAGTATATCAAATCGGTTTTTACTGTAGATGTCTCTACAGAGTACTGACATTGTTTTTGTTGCATAACTACACCAAAGCAGAGTGTTTATATAGAGAATAATACATGGGTGATAATTGCAGCGCAGCGATAATTGAAAAGCGATAATTTTCACATGTGAGATTATCATGAATAATCTCACATGTGACATTATCACTTTTATCAGTGCTCGAAATCTGTATAAAGCACTATACTTTATATAATAAATAGTGTTAACATGGTCTTATTTACAATGGTCTGACTCTGGGAGTGGTTACTCATGGAATTGGCAATGATTCATGCATAATAATGAGTGCTAAGGGACAGGTCATTAATAATGGGAGGGGGCGGTGGGTGAGAAAAGGGGGGACGGCTTCAACTATTCTCCCCTGAATTGGGGGCAGCCTCAAACTGAAAAATATGTGACAAGGGACGGGTGACCCCAATTTTGTAATATGCAGTCCACCAGTGGCAGTTTGAGTAAATAACAACCATTTTGAATACTGGTCCTCTAATTATTTATAGGCTACACAATGTCTTACACCAGTACTTGTCCCATTATCTATTTTACACCAAAAATGTAACAAATTAGTAACAGGGTTTCTAAATTTTCTATAAGAAAGTGATGGCATCTTGAAAATAAAGGTCTTGCAATTGGGGTGGCTCTGGAAAAGTTCAATATTTGGTATTTATCACCCACGCCCCCATTATTAATGACTTTTGGACTATTTTTTAAACATAGTCACAGAGTTCAAGGTTTTACGTATAGAAGACATACAGTAGATTCACAACAGAAAACATACATAAACCTAATTTTGTACTAAAATCTAATAGTCTTCCACTCTTCATGTGCTATCATTGTCTGATTTTACTCGTCAAATGCCAGATGATTTTGCTCTTCAAGGGAGGACCTTGCATTTTAATGGCTTAATTTTTTTCCAAAGTAGTTACACACAGTTTTTGGGCCACTCCATAAATTTTCATTTCTCACTTTTCCTTGGAATCGTCATAAAATAATGAAAATTCATGTTATCTTAAATTTGCTTCCAAATTATGTTGTTATGCAGATGTGTTGCTTTTTTTTCCAGCAATATGTTATGTCAGCCCAGTGATTTATAAGGTATGTAGTATTGGTAGTTAGCTAAAAATAGTGGAAAATAGGCACACTCTAACACCAGACAATTTTACTTGTCATTCATCAAGGGTCTGAGACTCTTGTGCCTTAGTGGGTTAACACTGTTCAATGTGCAATTTGTACATTGTTTTGGTTAAAATATTGAAATAACTGTAAATATGTACAAATGTTTTTTTTCCAATTTTGGCCAAATATTGATGCCTCCCAGGTCTGCATAAAGCATAATATAGGGAAAATGTGGGACTTACTAAATTATTTTATATTTTCCTTAGATGTAATAACTATATGTGATTCTGGGAGTGATGATGATCGACCAGAAGTATTGGAAGTGAACAACACTCCCGAGCTAATTCATGACAGTCTGTATTTATATTTGGCAGTTATTTTAACAAATTACCAGTATGGCAAATGAACTTTGATCATACAGTATATTGTAATTTGCTGGGAAATATATTTATCTGATGGTGCACGCAAACAATGTATAGTGTATAATAGTTTTGTTTGTGGAAACACCACGTAAATTTATTACTGCAAAGCTTTCGATCCGTAAGCACGGATAAGACATATTCATAAGCCTGGATAAGACTTGACCGTGACAGAAAGAGAGGAGGTGCCTAAGGTATCAACCAAAGTTTTAAATGTGAGACCATGAATGAACTATCTTATATTGCGGACTCTGGCTTACATCAGTTATGGCTACAGATACAAGTTATAAACTTCAGATCATTTTTCGTATGTACAGCTTACCATCCACCTGGAACTACAATCCTGGTCAAAAATCCTTGGCGAAATAGCATAACCTTTACTTCATTTCTGATTACCATATAAATACTTGCCAATTTTATGCAAAATTTCATGTCCAAACACCCCCTATCCCCCTTATCAATGTTGTGTAACACCTTGGACGTATAACACACTACAGACAACATTGAACGGGGGAAAGGGGGGTTGCTATGCTTGTTATTGAAGTGGGAGTCAAATTTCGCACAGTCAGTGTCAAGTGCGCCAATATTTTCGACCAGGATTGTAGTTTATCTTGTTTTGAGAATGATTTCAGCGAAACCTTAGCGTCAGCTGTGTCCTTTAACAAACCTATCAACATCCTGGGAGATCTCAACTGCAATGTCCTAGATACGAATGACCCGGGACAACGAAACAGACAAAACGTTGTTGGAAAAACTTCTCAATCAAGAGTTAAATATTATAAACACCTCGAAAGTCTGGATGTTTGTCAGATAATGCCCTCGGATGCTTCACGTCCTTGGGTCATTATCTGACATAAATCCCTCCTCACTTTTTATCCTATACATACTCTGAATATGCTGAAAAACCTGAATTCATCTTGCAAGCTAACTTAGAGGTGGCTCCATATCAGGAAATGTTTGTTTTACATCTATAAATTATTCCTCAATAAAAAACTTTCATCGTGGTAATTAGTAAAATAATTTATTTTATACAGTCAAATGAAGATATTTACGATGTGGATTCCCTAATTCCAGATGATGTTATCAGGTACAGTACTGGATTGTTGTAAATATTGAAGTCAATAAAGGAAACCCAGTTTCCAATTAGCCATTCCGAAGTTGATGATAGGACTGGGGACGAGTGTTAAAAAGTGCCCAAACTAAGAAATGAACCAAATCACTAAAAAAACACCTCAAAATTAGTAAGTATACTAGCCTGCGTAACGGCTCAGAGAAAGTAGAACCTGCACGAAACCCCCTGCTTTGCCGTATTTACTCGTTCTCTCAGAGGACGAGATATCTGATTGGTTCAAAATGAAAAAAAAATATGCTAATTTATGCTAAAATTGGTACAAACACGGCGGATGTCTTATTGAGAGGCGTTTCTTTGAGTTTTGCATTCAAAAGAGGCTAAGCAACTCTACTGCACTCAGCATATGCAGGAACGTGATGCTCATAAGCTACAATCACTCGGATGCAACCAACGATCAAAACTCAGCATCATGTCCGACATTTACGGTACCCAGAATGACGTACTTTTGCAAAGTGGTCTAGCTGATGCCTTGGATGAGGACGATTTTGACGTCAAGTTGGAAAGTCTCAAGACTGTGTGGGAACAGAGAGCACCAGGATTTAATGAGTGGTTCAGAAAGAATCGGTCAGAAAAGTTTAAAGCTTCTCTTGTCCTGTCTTCAAGACAAAGCCTTGGAATTGAAGGAAGATTCTACACGAATGGTCTTGAATTGAAACATAAATTACAGAAGAAGAGGCTTAGAGAAGCACAAGTACCAAGGGAGGTTTCGCGTGTAACAGAGGAGCTACAGAAATGGTCCGAGGAGTTTTATGTAGAAGAAACAAGAGCAATTCGTAACCTGGGGAAATATTTTCAATATTCCAGGTCGACCCGGTGAGATGGAACCGTTGGGGGCCCGAGAGGCAGACACAACATGTGAATTCCTTTCGCCAATTTGTGCCAAAGTCGTATGATTCATTCAAGAAGCCAAGCTCCGCTGGTCAGAAAACCTCTCCTAAGTCAAAGAAAAGAAGAGCGGAATTGCCTGAGGCTGAGCTATTTGTTGACCGCGTAACTCCAAGCAATGCGACTCCCAGTAATTCTGCTGTATCTCCCTTGCATCTGGCAAAAGTAGGACACAGTTCACGTTGGCAGGTAAGGTTGAGTAATTATACTGCTAAATATCAGTACGGAATGTAACATTAAAGGGCAAAGTAAACATTAATATTGGCTATATAATCATATAGTTTATACACAAAAGGTTGTGAACCTGAGGCGCCCAGCTAGATAAGGTATGTTAATGCTTGCTAAAATCTCAGAAATATTCCTTTGTTACAATGTTTACTTTCCTTTATAGGTGACTCAGTCGAGTTTAGCAAGACCGGTTGACATTCTGAATCCAGACAGAATCACTGGCAACCAATATGATCTTGTTCATAGAGATGACACCAAGCTTTGCCCCAAAGGCGTTCAGAGATGCGAACAGTGCAGAGTGAATTTCAACCAAGCAGACAAGATTATTGTAAAGAGTGTCGGGATACGCGAGAGAAGGAGTATGACCAAAATTTTGCTTTCAATGCAATCACCGTTCCGTCAAGAACTATCGGGTTTCTCCCAGCAGGTAGTAAAGACGCACTGATAGCTAGGGGACTACAAGTTGAGTAGATCAGTACTCTGCACATCCACATACTGCACATGCATGCATCTGTCAGTGATAGGAAATACTTTTTTATGTGTATTGGAGCATTGTTATATATAACTAGAATATGATGGGAGTTTTTATTCATATTGGATTACTGTAACTGCAAATTGACTATTTATAGTGATGATTTACAGTATATAGCTTTAAACTATTTGAATCTGAATTGATTGACTTGGTTGACTTGAATGTTAGATACTACAGTAGTTTTACATATTAGTTTACGCGTCCCATATGTGCGATTGAAATACACAGCCATAATTTTCTTATTACAACAGGACCGGTGTTTGCTGAGTAGAGTCCATTCTCCATGTTTTTCGTTGAACATTGAAAATATTCGCTTATAATATATTTTCATGCATGATACAAAGTAAGTCTTGGCCTCCTGTGGACAAGATTTCTGTCTTTAGCTGCACGTTAAAAAAAAACTCGATAAAAAATTGAAAAAATCTTCGAGGCTCGACAAAAACATGTAGATTTCGATCGTAACAAGAAAATTGTGAAATGGATTTAATTGTCACCTACATACGAGGCTCCTTATGTTAATAACTCTAAGTTGTGTTGCATTTAAATTAAAGTGGCTCCATACAGTTTCTTGAAAAATAGAAAACACACGTTTCTGATCCAAAATCTTGTTCATTGATATATTTTGTTAGAAGAATGAAACTAAATGTCTTGTATGGAGCAACATTTTGAGAGTATACGAAACTGTGACGATGCAAAAATAAAATGCCCGCTAATTTGCGTTAAAATTAATTTAATTTGAAAACAATGTCGGTGATCCCCAAGTTTTATTTTGTTAAAAGTTATCTGTTATGTTAATATGAGTATTCATTAGGCCATGAAAAATTCTGTAAATCCAAAAAATTTTTGTCAGGAATATTTATAAAACACTTTTTTCGATTTGAAAAATTTTGGATCTACACAATAATTCTAAAATAAAAATTGGGGGTCACCGACGTTGTTTGGTTCAAATGCAAATTTGCCATTTTGAAATGTCATTAACAACAGTTACGGACTTTCCGTTTAATACAGTTTCTGATTCTCAAAATACTTTTCTATACAAGACATATGCCGTGTTTACACTGTGAGCCTAAGCCTGGTCTAGGCCCAGCTTCGGACTAGATTTTTGTAGTGTAAACGTACTTTGGCCTGGCCTAGGCCACACTAGGCCAGAAAATTTAGGCCCATCAGAATAGGTGGCCCAGATTTTCTGGCCTAGGCGAGGTCAAAGTGCGTTTACACTACAAAAATCTAGTCCGAAGCTGGGTCAGGTTTAGGCTCGTAGTGTAAACACGGCTCTACAAAATGTTTTGCCTTTTGGTCTGAAATGCGTCTTTTCCACCTTTCCGAAACTGTATGGAGCCTGCACTTAAATTGATTTAATTATAAGGTTTAATTATAAGACATCAATGTATAGTGCTATGACTATGGGCAATATATATGACTTTAACATTTTTACTATCATAGCAGTTTATAGGTGGTTTTACGAGTTGTTGATATGCACAGTCGTTTTAATTTAGGAATTAGGTAGCTTTATATCGTTTTAACAGTCATTGTAAATCGTTTCACTCGTCAGTTTAGATTGGTTTATTGAATATTGGCCGTTTTAGATCGTTTTATTGTAGTTTTAGACCGTTTTCAGTCGTTTTAGATTGCTTTAGATTATTTTACTGGTCGTTTTGACAGTTTTAGATCGTTTTAGATAATTTTACTGGTCGTTGTAAGTCGTTTTAGATCATTTTACTGGTCGTTTTAGGTAGGTTTTAGACGGTTTTAGGTGGTTTTATATGGTTTTACTGGTCGTTGTAGATCGGTTTAGATGGTTTTAGGTCGTTTTAGGTGGTTTTACTGGTCGTTGTAGATCGTTTTAGATTGTTTTAGGTCGTTTTAGGTGGTTTTAGATGGTTTTCGGTGGTTTTAGGTAATTCCTTTAGATATTATGTTCAACACTCGAAATTAATCTGGTATTTCCACGCACCCATGTATTATTCTCAGATATTGAAACTACAACTTCACTGGTTTAAATTATTATCAAGTTATCAGTGATTGTAAAAGTTGCAGATAGAAGTGTTTTGTTTTATATTATCAAGTTATCAGTGATCGCAAAACCTCCAAATCCTTAATTTCAAATGCCCCTCTGGGGCTAATGCACTTATCATCGGCTTCCCCGGGGGTCGACCCCCGAACCACCCAGGGGCTTTTGTTAAGAGGATGGAACAAAACATTAACAAAGCCCCTGGGTACAGGGAAAGTTTAATGACAAAAATCATGTTAATGACAAAAATCATGGCAAAAAAGCAAACATAACATCCCTAACAAAAACAAAATATTATATAACTGGTGAACTGGATACAAAATACAGCAGAAAAGTAAACAATTTTAAAATAACCGTCCAAAAATGTCAGGTTCAAGCATGTACAGCATGCACGCTTGAAAGAATTTATTTGCTCATGCGCTGAATTATAAATAATTAGGGTAAGATGAAGTTTATACTATTCGAACTCGATGATTCTTAGATACAAGTAATGTCCAATACAGGCATCGATATCTGATGTCTGATGGTGAAGATGGTGTATGATGGTCGAAGTGTGTCAGATGGTTGTCAGATGGTGTATGATGGTGTAAGGCGGTTGTACAGGGAAGGGTTGTCAGATGGTGTATGATGGTCAAAGTGTGTCAGATGGTTGTCAGATAGTGTATGATGATGTAGGGTGATTATACAGGGAAGGGTTGTCAGATGAAGATTGTGTATGATGGTCGAAGTGTGTCAGATGGTTGTCAGATAGTTGTCAGATGGTGTGTGATGGTCGAAGGGTGTCATTCAGTGTAGGATGCTTATACTACGTTGCTATATTTTATTATTACTTACATATACTGTGGCCAACTATGTATATAAAAATATAATATTATATCTCACATTACGGTTCTCATGTGGGAAATGTAATTCAAAGTATTTGACAGAATATATTTAAACACATTTGAAAGACATGTTCGAGGTAATAAATAAAAATATAATATGAAATATATACTTCACCACCTGACAACCGATGGTTATATCTATATTGGAGATATATGCTAGATACCGCTGACCATATGTGAAACAAAATCCCGCAGGTTTCTCCCGGGGGTTAACAGTGCCTGTTACCAAACCCAAACAATTCCCCTTCCCCGAGGGACACTATTTTTTACAAAAGACAATGAATCCCCTCCTGTTCCCGGGGGTTCCCCCTGGAGTGTCCCGGGGTCGACCCCCGGGGAAGCCGATGATAAGTGCATAAGGTTCAAGTGGAAATGCCCAACCCCCGGGATGTGCTTTACAGGAAAATGGCTGGGCGAGGGGATGGGCACAGTTGGTTTTGGCTGATGCATTAAAAGTCATGGAAAAAGAAAAAACGTTTCATATTGCTACTATAAAATGGCTTATTGTGCTTATTCCTGTGCTTATTCCAGACTGCTTGTCAAATACTTACTTGCTAGAAATAGAAATTTACTCTGACCACTGGATGAAGAAGACATTAAATAAGTACTGGTCTATGGTGGCCCATCGCTGCCACTCAAATTTTACTCATATCTTTTTTTCTGAATTAATAAAAAGTGTTTTAAATTAAAATTAAAATACATTTACAATAAAAAAATAAAGTAAAAAATAATAATTATAATTTTCATTTACAAACGTAAATGAAAATTGAATAAGAAATAAAGTTAAAAGCAAAATAAAACACAAATCAAAGTAAAATTAAAATTCTCCAAAGCCTATCGCTGCCACAGTACACCATGATGCTTTGCGCGCGTCAGTGTTTCCACGTGCTATCCGTCATTTGTATTCAAGATGGCCGCCGCATGGAAAGAATTCAAGACTGCAATGAAAGAAAAAAAGAATAGCAAAAAGACAAGTAATACAAAAAAGTTCGACTGGATTAAAGATTAAATTGTGGTGCAACAACTTTCATCTGAAGTTTGTGGTAAAGCACAAAAGTATTCGAGGATGGGACCGAGGGTATTTGTGCCCTTCCACTACGACGAGGTCACCTTTGACAATATCAAGGCAGCTTGCGAGAGATTCTTCAAGTCCAAATTAAAGGATAATACATGCTGCAATATACTGGCAGGGGAGCAAGGGCCATCATGTCAATCGCTAGAGCAAATCCCCAATCTCAAAGTAATCCATTTGAGGATTATTGAGAAAGCTGAAGTAGATTCGCAGACACAGTCACCACAGTTGGAAGTCTACTTGAAAGAAAAATCTACAAGGCTACCTATAAAAAGAAGACGTACCCATCCAATTTCCCTCCAACCACAACAATCTGCACGATCAACCTCTGTTAAGTCAAGTTCCCAAAAAGTTTGTCTGTGGTGGATATGTTGAAACTGGGCAAAGTGATAAAAGAAAAACCATCCACCATTATTGAACTGTCAAGTAACTGTCAAGTTTTGATATAAATCAGATGGAGTGGTCTCCTGAATTTCGTTGTGTTGAGTTTGTTATAAACCCAGTGGTAATCGGTGTAGGGGGCTTTCGTGAAGCATTCTCTGCAACAAGTCGTCGAGATGACTTCAACACTTCCACTTGGGTAGTCAAGAAGTATTTAGCAAATGCATTGGAGAATATTAAGGCGACAAATCAGACTCCCGAGCAGCACACAAGGAAGATGGTGCAAATGCACCTACTTGCACAAAACTTTGCCAAGCAGCTCCAGCAAGAGGTGTGCAAGCGAAATAATGAAGAGGTGTATGGTGAGTTTATGTCTTACAACAATATTTACCTGGGAAAGATGGATGATGGTGAATTTGTTACTGTTGAAGAGTTTGTTAAAGGAAACTTTGACAAGTACATCAATAATGATGGAACTCTTTGTGGCACTTCAACTTACATCCACATGAAAGCTGAGAGCTTGTCTCAATATTCCTATGTGAGATCCCATGAGAAGCTGATGGTGGTTGATATCCAGGGCAGCAGCCATAAGTTATTCGACCCGGAAATTGCCTCATATGAATTGCAAGAGGATGACAAGCAGGACATTGGGTGCAAACACCAGTTGTATGGATATTAGGATTATGTTTGTTCAGAAATTTTTAAAAATGAGACAATATATGGTGTTTAGTTGGTCAGAGTCATAGATATCTTATATTGACTGTACACTAGATAGCGCATCTCTTTTAGTAAAATTGAAGCCAAGACTATTCCAGTGGTTACTCCCATTTGAATAGATGGTGGCCATGTTGGTAGTAAATGTCACTAGCTAATAAATGCTTAAAAAACAACAATAACTTTCATCATTTGAATAGTCTAAAAATGTATTTGGAATAGGTTCAAATTAATGTTTAAGTTCCCTGTTTAAGAAATAGAAAACATATGAATCTTCTCATTTCATGGGAATGACCTGAGACTTGAATCGCAGCTTCAATTTTTTAATTGCAGAATAATGAGATGAACTATAAGATATCTATGATGAGAGTCTCAGCAAAATATTTATTTGGGTGCTAATATCCTTACATAATATTAATTCCCCAACACTTAAACAGATCACCAAATGTGCACCCGCACCCAATAGTAAATCCATCCCTGTGTTACTGTATGTTATGCACAGTAAGACTGTTATGTTATGGTGTTTTTGTGCGAATGTTAATGTGACATAATTATGCACACTTGCAACTATTACTTTAGTTTACTTTCTAGTTTGATGTTACACATTTAAAGTTTATATCTTCATTTCACTTGGATTTGTAAAGAACATATAGTTTTACTAAAACCTTTTGTTTTCAATCGTTATGTGCCTAGGTCTACAATAATTTTTCATGATAGCTCAAATTAGAAATATATTCATTCGCATTCAAACAGAAAGTCACACTTTTTGTTGCTTATTACAAGAGAAAAATAATCTATTTTTGAAGTTGGGGTCATCCTTGATTAGGCCACTACAAGTTAATCTTTAGTTTCTGGTCCGCCGCCCGCGTCCGTATTTCAGGACTATTTTGTTTTTGCGAAGGATTTAATTTATAGAACGATAAATATTCAATTTACACTAAAAAGATCTAGCAAAATGTAGTATTGAATGGCAAAAACCGCTGCCTTATCGAGATTACGAGTTAAAAAAACTAGAAATATTAATAGATCATTTTGATAGGTAAAATCCTTTGTAATCTGTCATACATGTCGATTTATAAATAATATAAATGCAATTTATGTAAAATTTCATAACATTTTGATACAATTAGCATGAAAAGGGACAAGAAAGACCACAAAAATGTGGGCAAAGCCACAATTGTAATTATGTCCTATAGTCCTAACCGCCCGCCCACCCGCGTCGTAAATGAAGGTAAGGACGGACCAGAAACTAAAGATTAACTTGTAGTGGCCTTATCAGCATTTTTAAAAGCCTACAAAGTGCAGGAAAACAATTGGGCATAGAGGGAGGTTTGCCTTGACGATTAGGTTTTGGTAGATAACAGTTTTATTAATAGCTATCAAATGTGGCCAGACATCCCTCTATTCCTGGGTTAAACTGCCACCCCATAGTGTATGCTTTTTTTCTGACCCCCCCCCCCCAATTGAAATTTGATATAAATACAGTGGTTGCATGCACAGAGATATACCCCTACACAGTGGATATGCATTCATCATTATTTTATATTCTCTTCTCAAGACATGCATTGTCGTTAATATTGAGCCTTCCTCCTGAAGTTAGCTTTCTATACTTTTGAAAATGTTGATAACTATGGATGATGTGTGATTTACATAAAATATATGTGCAAATTATATTTAACTTTAAACATTGACTCTTTCTTTTAAAAAAATAAATGCGTGTTTGCTTTCCGAAGATTCAATCTTTTCAGGGTGTGGAATAAATCGCTCACATTCTTCTCTAAACTCGGGACTGATAAAATCATTTGGCACATTCAAAACACCTGATGCTGTTGCTGCTTCTTGAAGCTGTTCCTCAGTGATTGGCCAACCTAAAAATACAAAGTGCAAAGGTTTTAAAGGTTTGAATTTGGATACGGATTTAAATGCACACATGGTACAAAATGTGCAATTACCACTTATAAAAATGATCAACATATATATGTTCAGTATGGCATAACATCCAAATGTGCTGTTCGATAGGTGCAGTATATCAATTTTGTAAAATGCTTACCGCATTCCTGAAGACCATATTCTTGTGGAAATGCATGCATGTGGTTGGGAACTCCATCTGGAAGGTTTGTGTCCTGCTTTCTTATTCTGTGTGGATTCCAAACAGTATTTCGAAATTCGTCCAACTCTCTCTGAATAACTGGTATCATTATGAATGCCATCAATGAT